CCTAGAAAAATAATAATATCCAAAAATTACGCTAATTGAAAATAAAAACTTAAAATATTTTGACTAAAAAAAATTGTACAAAGTAATTGTTTTAATTTCCTATAAATAATATTAAAAAGTTGCGCCAACTGAATAAAAATTTTCACTATAAAAAATACATATTTTTTTAAATTTTTAATATTAAAAGATAAATGATATTAAATGAATTGTAATATATCTATTATAAAAAATCATTGAAAATATGAATAATCATATACATTGCAATAATCATACGCATATATCCTGAAAAGTTTAATTAAAAAAAAAGAAAATGATAATACAAAATATAATGATAATACAAAATAAAATGATAATACAAAATTCAAAATTATTAAAAAAATTAAAAATTAGAAATTAATAAAAAAAAATAAAAATTTATATAACAAATAAAAATTAATACATATAAAAAAAGTTTAGTTAAAAACTTTAGTTAAAAAACTAAAGTTTAGTTAAAAAACTTTAGTTACTAAAGTTTAGTTAAAAAACTTTAGTTACTAAAGTTTAGTTAAAAAACTTTAGTTAAAAAACTTAGCGCTGCTACGCTGAACAATGTGCTAATGAAATTAGAAGCGCTAAGTTTTTTAACTAAAGTTTTTATATATGTATTAATTTTTATTGGTTATATAAATTTTTATTTTTTTTTATTAATTTCTAATTTTTAATTTTTTTAATAATTTTGAATTTTGTATTATCATTTTATTTTGTATTATCATTATATTTTGTATTATCATTTTCTTTTTTTTTAATTAAACTTTTCAGGATATATGCGTATGATTATTGCAATGTATATGATTATTCATATTTTCAATGATTTTTTATAATAGATATATTACAATTCATTTAATATCATTTATCTTTTAATATTAAAAATTTTTAAAAATATGTATTTTTATAGTGAAAATTTTTATTCAGTTGGCGCAACTTTTTAATATTATTTATAGGAAATTAAAACAATTACTTTGTACAATTTTTTTTAGTCAAAATATTTTAAGTTTTTATTTTCAATTAGCGTAATTTTTGGATATTATTATTTTTCTAGGATATAATGTAGAAAATTAAAACAACTATTTTGTATAACTTTTTTTGGTTAAAGTATTTTTATAAGCTTTTATTTTCACTTAGCGCAATTTTTTGATATCATTATTTTTGTAGGATATACAATTTTACACAAAATTAAAATAATTTGTAGAACAATTTTTTACGGTGTGCAATTGACTGGACATAAGGTTAGGATAGAAAAAACGGGAAATAGGAAAGAATCGGTAGAAGAAGAATGGAAGATACAACAGTCTAGGAAGGAAAAAAGGATGGAAAGGAGAAGACAGCAGGCTACAGAAGGAAAAGGAAGAAATAACTCGGTAAAGCAGAAGCCTAAAATAATAAGGAAGCTCCCAAGATCGGCAGGAGTAACAATTAGGATAGAGGAAAAAAATAGGGATAAAGTCTCCTATGCAGGAATCCTAAAGAAGGCTAGAGAAGAGATATCATTAGAACAGTTTGGTATCGAAAAGACTAAAATCCGAAAGACTGCGGCAGGAAACATTCTCATCGAAATCCCAGGAATGAAGAAGGTTGAAGAGGCAGATCGTTTGGCTACCGAACTTAATAAAGTATTAGATGGAGCGGCAATTGTTGCAAGACCTACAATTAATAGAGATCTCCGTCTATTTGGATTAGATGATTCCATCTCCCAGGATGAAATTAATTGGAAAATAGCCGAATACGGCGGATGTAAGAGAGAAGAAGTTAAAGTGGGTGACATAAAGCCCATGAGAAATGGTCTCGGAATGGTATGGCTCAAATGTCCTCTCGGAGCGGCAGTGACTGTAGCTAAAATGGAAAAAATTAAGATCGGTTGGTCAATAATCAAGGTCGAACTGATCCATGCAAGAGAGAAGCAATGCTTCAAATGTTGGAGATTCGGGCATTTGAAATATAATTGCACTTCAAACATTGATAGGACCAAGTGTTGTTACAGATGTGGATCTGAGAGACATTTAGTGTCTGCGTGTTCCAAGGATGCACATTATATAATCTGTAAAGAAAACAGAAAAGACGCAAATCACAGGATGGGCTCTGCAGCATGTATTAAGAATAGAGAGAAGAATAATAATGCTAATAAGAGAGCACAAATAAATAAAACAGCTGAAAATAAAGTAGAAAATAATAACACTAACAGGACGGATGAAAATATGGATATAGTACATAATGAATAAAAATAAAAAGATGACAAAAAATAGGACTAGAAATACAGATATGACTAGATGCATGACTAGAATAATGCAAGCGAACCTGAACCATTCGCAAGGCGCACAAGACCTTCTTATGCAATGGTCCTTGGAGAAGGAAATTGAGATTGCAGCCATACAAGAACCATGGTCGACTGTAAACTCAGACTATTGGCTTACTAGTAAGAATGGTTTGGCTGCTATTTATTGGAATAGGGGCGTCACGAGGATCCCTTGCTGCCTTGTTAAACAAGGGAAACACTCGATAGCGGCTAAATATAAGAATATTATCCTAATCTCATGTTACTCGTCACCCAACGCGAGTCTAAAGGAATTTCAGGACATGTTGAATGAAATTAGCTTGATTATTCTTAAGGAAAAAAGCAATATAATACTTTGTGGAGATTTTAATGCAAAATCTCACATGTGGTCTTCTAAGATCGAAGATAGAAGAGGAAAGGAGTTAATTGAACTTGCTAATATGCTGGATCTTCGACTAGTTAATGTAGGCTCAGTACCTACATGCGTTCGAACACAAGGAAGTTCAATCGTAGACACTACCTGGTCTTCGGCAGACATGATATCCAAGGTTAGTAGATGGAGAGTGGAGGAAGACGAAATCTCTCTCTCTGATCACAGATATATTACCTTTGAAGTAACCCAAGGTAATCCTGCTCGGAATACAAATCAGACTAAGAGAATAGCCTAGTCTTCAAAAAAGTTTGACATTGATCTTTTCCACTCGATATTCATATGGGAATGTCCACAATTTCTATCTATAGACATGGCAGAACAGTCGCCTCAGCAAGCTAGTACTGAAATAGATGGAATAATGAAAAGAGCATGCGATGCTGCGATGCGTAGGCAACCGCAGAATGCTTGGAAAAGGAAAGCAACCTATTGGTGGTCCTCCGAAATAAATGATAAGAGAAAAGAATGTATAAGTCTTAGAAGGAAATTGAAAAAAGGCAGAAAGAGAGACGATAGCAATACTGATAGAGAGAAAGAAAGAGAGTTTAAAACAAAAAAAGAAAGAGTTGAGAGTTCTTATAAGAAAAGCGAAGATATCTGCCTGGAAGGATCTCATACGTACAATAGATGAAGACCCTTGGGGTCTCCCATATCGCATTGTAATGAATCGTTTGCGCAGGACAGCCCCTGTCTTAACGGAAATGTTAGAGAAAAAAGTATTGGATGAAACGTTACTTAAACTATTCCCTAAATCCAAAATAGACAAAGATGCCTTCGTAGAAACGAACATAGTTTGGCAAGATGATTGGGATATATCCATACAAGAAATTACACGTTACACTCGTAAAAGAACCGCTGTTAATACTGCACCAGGATTAGATGGAGTTAAATTCACCTACTGGAAGCAGATAAATGAAGATATGTTGGCAAGCGTAGCAAAAGTATTAACGATCTGTAATCGTTACGGGGTTTTCCCGGATCAATGGAAGTTGGCTCAACTTGTATTGATCCTCAAAGGGGAATTAAATTCTGAGAGCCCTAAAGTCAGGCCAATCTGCCTTCTCCCGGAGATAGGGAAGATTTTTGAAAGAGTGCTTGCAGAAAGGATGTACCGGTGGATGGAAGAACACCCGGAATCGTCACTAAGTCCGAATCAATTCGAATTTCGGAGAATGCGCTCAACAGTTGATGCAATTGTTGAGTTACGAGAATTTATCGAATTCACATATAAAGAAGACGGAGTGGTTATCGCAGTAGCGATCGATATTGCGAATGCATTCAACTCACTCCAATGGGCAGACATCATGCAAACCTTAAGAACAAAGAAATTTCCGTTACATATACAAAAGATTATAAATAGTTACTTATCACATAGATTTATACTATATACAAATAAGGACGGAATGCAAGTGACTAGACAAATGGAAGCATGGGTACCAGGGCTCAGTCCTGGGGCCCCTGCTATGGAATATTACATTTGATAAAGTGTTAAAGGCAAGATCCGAAAATGGTTGTCGACTTCTCGCACACATGCGGATGACACCCTAATTATTTCTACAGGAGAATCCGTTGAAAGTGCTCGTAGAAGAATGGCACTTCAAGTAGCGCGGAGAGCCAAGGATATTAAGGACTTTAAACTAGAGATAGCTGCTGCTAAAACGGAAATAGTAGTATTTACATCAAATAAGAAGCCACCCCCGACAATTGAAATCGTGGTGGATCGGACAAGAATACTCTCTAAAAGATCAATGAAATATTTAGGTGTGATCATGGACGACAAACTAACCTTTGCCGACCATATGGAATACATTAATGGAAAGTTCCGAAAGATTACTAGGTCATTATGGCGTCTTATGCCCAATCTTCATGGTCCTATAGAAAAACGAAGACGTCTATACGCAAATGTATTAGCATCCGTAATTCTTTATGCGACCCCAGTGGGCCCATAAAGCAATTAAAAAGGGCAAAGTACACTCAGAATTAAAAGAGATGCATAGAATAGTAGCGCTGAGAGTTATAGCAGCATATCGGACAGTATCACATGATGCAGCGTCCATTCTGTCGAGGATTCCACCATACTATTTTACAGCAGAAGCAAGAAAACACGCGTATGAAAGGATACGCGATATGAAGTTAAATAAAGAATGGACTCGAATAGAGGAAAAGAAAATAATAGCAGAAGAAACAAATAAAGCTATATATAAACGGTAAGAATACTTACTTGGACAAAGCGCAGCGGGCGTAAGAACACGCGAGGCAATCATGCCTATATGGGACGAATGGCTCCATAGGAAACATGGTAATATGAGTTTCCACATGACCCAATTACTTACCGAACATGGTGTATTCTATTCATATTTGAATAGAATACAAAGAGTAAATAGCGACACATGCCCACACTGTAGGATGAACGTTCCAGATACAGCGGAACATACACTGAAAATATGTTCAGTGTGGGAGAGAGAAAGAGCAATTATGCTCGAGAAAATAAAAATGACTTCGGATGCTCTCTCTCTAAAAATGATGACAGCAGTCATGATCAACTCTCGTCAGGAGTGGTCCACGGTAATGACCTTTATTGAGAAGATTATGCTTGAAAAAGAACAATATGAACATCAAGTAGAAAGAAGAGAAGCTCATGAGAACTCAGATCTCACCGAGATAGATAGCGAATACTCGAATTAGAGTACTGGTTTTGAAACACATACACACACACACACACATACCCACACATACACACACACATACACATACACACACACTATTCCATCTATTCCTGGTGCAGTATTAACAGCGGTTCTTTTATGAGTGTAACGTGTAACTTCTTGTATGAATATATCCCAATCATCTTGCCAAACTATGTTCGTTTCTGTGAAGGCATCTTTGTCTATTTTGGATTTAGGGAATAGTTTAAGTAACGTTTCGTCCAATACTTTTCCCTCTAACATTTCCGTTAAGGTAGGGGCTGTCCTGCGCAAACGATTCATTACAATGCGATATGGGAGACCCCAAGGGTCTTCATCTATTGTACGTATGAGATCCTTCCAGGCAGATATCTTCGCTTTTCTTATAAGAACTCTCAACTCTTTCTTTTTTTGTTTTAAACTCTCTTTCTTTCTCTCTATCAGTATTGCTATCGTCTCTCTTTCTGCCTTTTTTCAATTTCCTTCTAAGACTTATACATTCTTTTCTCTTATCATTTATTTCGGAGGACCACCAATAGGTTGCTTTCCTTTTCCAAGCATTCTGCGGTTGCCTACGCATCGCAGCATCGCATGCTCTTTTCATTATTCCATCTATTTCAGTACTAGCTTGCTGAGGCGACTGTTCTGCCATGTCTATAGATAGAAATTGTGGACATTCCCATATGAATATCGAGTGGAAAAGATCAATGTCAAACTTTTTTGAAGACTAGGCTATTCTCTTAGTCTGATTTGTATTCCGAGCAGGATTACCTTGGGTTACTTCAAAGGTAATATATCTGTGATCAGAGAGAGAGATTTCGTCTTCCTCCACTCTCCATCTACTAACCTTGGATATCATGTCTGCCGAAGACCAGGTAGTGTCTACGATTGAACTTCCTTGTGTTCAAACGCATGTAGGTACTGAGCCTACATTAACTAGTCGAAGATCCAGCATATTAGCAAGTTCAATTAACTCCTTTCCTCTTCTATCTTCGATCTTAGAAGACCACATGTGAGATTTTGCATTAAAATCTCCACAAAGTATTATATTGCTTTTTTCCTTAAGAATAATCAAGCTAATTTCATTCAACATGTCCTGAAATTCCTTTAGACTCGCGTTGGGTGACGAGTAACATGAGATTAGGATAATATTCTTATATTTAGCCGCTATCGAGTGTTTCCCTTGTTTAACAAGGCAGCAAGGGATCCTCGTGACGCCCCTATTCCAATAAATAGCAGCCAAACCATTCTTACTAGTAAGCCAATAGTCTGAGTTTACAGTCGACCATGGTTCTTGTATGGCTGCAATCTCAATTTCCTTCTCCAAGGACCATTGCATAAGAAGGTCTTGTGCGCCTTGCGAATGGTTCAGGTTCGCTTGCATTATTCTAGTCATGCATCTAGTCATATCTGTATTTCTAGTCCTATTTTTTGTCATCTTTTTATTTTTATTCATTATGTACTATATCCATATTTTCATCCGTCCTGTTAGTGTTATTATTTTCTACTTTATTTTCAGCTGTTTTATTTATTTGTGCTCTCTTATTAGCATTATTATTCTTCTCTCTATTCTTAATACATGCTGCAGAGCCCATCCTGTGATTTGCGTCTTTTCTGTTTTCTTTACAGATTATACAATGTGCATCCTTGGAACACGCAGACACTAAATGTCTCTCAGATCCACATCTGTAACAACACTTGGTCCTATCAATGTTTGAAGTGCAATTATATTTCAAATGCCCGAATCTCCAACATTTGAAGCATTGCTTCTCTCTTGCATGGATCAGTTCGACCTTGATTATTGACCAACCGATCTTAATTTTTTCCATTTTAGCTACAGTCACTGCCGCTCCGAGAGGACATTTGAGCCATACCATTGCGAGACCATTTCTCATGGGCTTTATGTCACCCACTTTAACTTCTTCTCTCTTACATCCGCCGTATTCGGCTATTTTCCAATTAATTTCATCCTGGGAGATGGAATCATCTAATCCAAATAGACGGAGATCTCTGTTAATTGTAGGTCTTGCAACAATTGCCGCTCCATCTAATACTTTATTAAGTTCGGTAGCCGAACGATCTGCCTCTTCAACCTTCTTCATTCCTGGGATTTCGATGAGAATGTTTCCTGCCGCAGTCTTTCGGATTTTAGTCTTTTCGATACCAATCTGTTCTAATGATATCTCTTCTCTAGCCTTCTTTAGGATTCCTGCATAGGAGACTTTATCCCTATTTTTTTCCTCTATCCTAATTGTATTTCTGCTGCCGATCTTGGGGGCTTCCTTATTATTTTAGGCTTCTGTTTTATCGAGTTATTCCTTCCTTTTCCTTCTGTAGCCTGCTGTCTTCTCCTTTCCATCCTTTTTTCCTTCCTAGACTGTTGTATCTTCCATTCTTCTTCTACCGGTTCTTTCCTATTTTCCATTTTTTCTATCCTAACCTTATGTCCAGTCAATTGCACATTTTCTAGGACTTTGATATCTGTCCTCTTCACCCATTGTGGTTTGGGTATTTCCTTTTGCTCTTGACCGGGATCCTTTCTACTTTCCTGTCCCAATGTATCTTTCCTTTTGATTTGCTCTCTAGTTTTCTTTATATCCTGCAGCGATTCCTTTAGTGCCTTTTGTATTAATTGTTCTTCTTTTTGTTTCAGGTGTTCCAGATGGGCTTCCTCACCAGCCGGACCAGGACCAGGGATCTCCGACCTTTTATCAGGAGGAGCCATACAAGGCCTTTTGAACGTCCAGCCGTCTTCCGCCGTAGACCAATCCGTAGGTAAGTATTCCAAATCTACTGTTTCCGAATCATCCGCTATACTGGTGTCTTTTTCTCTACTCATAATATCCAGAGTTCTTTTCATCCTTGTACTATTCCTTTTAGATGGACTTCCTTTCTGACTTCTTTTCAGGCTGTCGCTTTCTTTCCTATCTACTTTCATTTTCATTTTCATTACTTCTTTCTTAAGCATCTTCATCTGTTCACATAGATCTTTAACTTCATTCTTTAGCATCTGTATCTCTTTCTCTTTCTGTGTACAGCGCTCTTCTTTCTCTTCTAATCTTGCCTGCAGCTCCTTGTTTTCCATACGAAGAAGGCAAGTTTCATCATCTGTCTCTCCCCGCTCCTTCTTTGACGGTGTTTTCGTAATCGTCTTCGCTAGTCCTCTAATGATTTCTTTAGCATTGTGGATTCGACGCTTCATAACGGCAGATAGATCACCCTTGATGTTTCTACATTTAATTCGGATCTCATCCGCCTCTTCTAAGAATTCGATTGCAGTTGCAGCCATTTCTGGTGCCGACAGGGCATCATATCCTTCGCTATTGTCTGAATCCTCAACTTCATGAACTCCTAGCTCCTCTATACCAAGCTTTTTCCTTCTTTCCTTTCTTAGCCTACCTACTTTCCTCTTAATTATTTCCGGCTCTTCTTTCGCGTTGCTCTGATGTCCTTCCTTTAAATTTCCTATAATTTCCTTATCTCCTTTCTTTCCTTTTCTTATAGGATGCAAGACTTAGAAACAATTGCATCATCACTATCGGAGATCTTTACCACGTCATTTGGCACATCATTCTTTTGTACCTTTTCTTGTATCTTAGAGCTTTCTTGTATACTAGAACCTTCTTCCTCATCACTAGATAATATTATTTTCCTAGCTCTTGAAATTCTTTTCTTCCTCATGTTTAAGTCCACACTTTCTTCCTCTTCATTCTCTTTATTCAACTCTCTGTCCGACATTTCCTTCCTCGTTCTTTTCCTATTCTCCCTATCGATTTCCATTTCACTGGAGCCTTGGATGTTTTTTCCTTCTATTAATGTTAAATTCTCTGTTTCTATTACAGCGGTAGCCAGTTCCTCACAGGCACCCGCTGGCAACACCTGTGACAGCCCTACACTGGATGGCGACGAAGACTGAGCAGGGACTATACCCAGCACATCGCCGGTCTCTGGAGCATCCGAAACTCCTGAGGCAGTAAGGTTTTTTCTCTGTTCTGTGCGACTCATGGTGATTTAGATGTGTGTTTTAATTCAGAGTACACCTCTCCTAGTCAGTCTGAGGGGACCTGACACCCGCCACACACACATTCACACATCAGGAGTTAAGGATTCGGGGTCATTGGAAAGGAATAAAAGGATGCGGTAAGGATGGGTAGCAAGAATTAAGGATAATTAGGGATGGGAGCAATAGTTGGGGAGAGTAAGAATGACGGGGTGTTTTCCTACCCCTAACGGTTCATTGAAGCCGGGTTTGGAGTCAGGGTTTTCCTTCCCCTATCCGCATTTGGCCAAAGTGCCCGAAGGGAGCGGAATCCCCTTTTCCTCCCCTTCCGGGGAGGGAAGTGCAATGCGAGCTCTTGGTCACCGCCCCCCGGGCCCCCCCGACACGAAAGTGTCGAAGTGGGGGGTCCGATGGGCCCGGAGACCGAGGGGGCGGCTAAGCCCCTCCACCACGTCAAGGTGGCTCGCGTCGGAGGAGATCAGGGGAGAACTTTTTTTTTTTTTTTTAACGAGGGGAAATCCGCCTGATGGATACCCCGCCCGACATGTGGGCCAGCCAGCTAAGGCGAGCACCACCCTTCACGTCGGGCGGGGTTATGTTGGGCTCTCCCAACCGACTCTATCCGGTCGGTCAGGCCTACCAACTAAAACTCCTCGGGCCCAGCCTAGGCCACAATGTCCGGACCCCGGGAACCGCTTTTGTATTACTTCCAGGGTCCGAACTGGCTAGCGCGCTTGCGCGCGCCTCATCCTTTCCTTAACCCTATAACCCTGCTTCCCTATTCATCCTTCTTTCCTAGCCCTCCCTACCTCCCATTAATCCTATATACATATACATATAAATCTACATATATATATACATATTTACAATACACATACACACACAGGCATACTCACACTCACACACTCCCATACATACACACACCCACACATATAAACACATCTATTTACACTAAGTATCTATCTATTATACTATCGTGTATTAACTCCTGTACATATCTA